CAGTAGGAGAGACTGGATATATGGATACAAAAGGCAGGGACAGCCTGTGATTAGGATCCAGCCTTGTGCACAGCAGACCTGGAGTCAAGAGTCTTAGCTTGGTCAGAGGTTTTCTGTGTAATCTTAAAAATGTCACCCCCTCTTAAAAGTAGGAGTATCCTAAACCTGAATGTAGGGAATACTCACACATGGATACATAATCTGGCTGTGCCTGTTTCTTCATGAAACCCCATCATCATCTGTATGGGAAAACCCAAAGGCAAGTCCAGTCTGCAGTTCCTTATTCAGCTGCTTCATTGCTGGTTGAGCAGATAACCACTAATGCCAGTGGGAGCTTGCCTGAGTAAATCAGTGTGAAAACTAAGAAAGAAGTTCTGAAACAGCAGCCAGATTCCTCTCTTCTTGATATCATACTTTTTACATTCCAGTCATTCTGCCTTTTTAAGCAATTCAGTGCGGGGAGAAAAAAACCGCTTCCTCTGCACTTGCTGCCTTGTTCCCCTTCCCCATTGCCCCCAAACCAGAATTACAAAAATAGGTAAATAAGCTGTTTAACTGCCTCCTGCAGCTTGATGCCCTCCAGAACGACCCCAGCTGACAGGTTCAGTGCTGAGCTGCTCAAAGTGCTTCCTGCCAGCGTGGGTGGTCTGAGTCCCAGCACAGTGAGCCCAACAGCTGAGAGCAGGGATGTGGACCCGGGGCAGCAGTCGGGGCTGGGGAGGTGCAGCTTGGGTTTCATCTGCTGCACATTTGTCTGGAATGCCACAGAGTTTGCCACGGCACTTCTCCACTTGGGGAGCTCATTCCCCTGCTGTAAACAAATGTTTAGATTAGTAATGAACCCATTCATTTTCAGGGCATCTATCTAATTATCCCTGATGACTGCAGGATGAGGTACTCAGCCTCGTTTATGATCTGGGCACAAGGGACTAGTCTAAATTACAGGCTTACTGTCCAGTGATTTATAACATCAGTAGCTTAGGCCCTGTATTAGAAGTTAAAATCTTAGAATCAGAGAATATTCTGAGTTGGAAGGGACCCACGAGGATCGAGTCCAGCTCCTGACCCTGCAGAGAACACCCCAACAATTCCACCATGTGCCTGAGAGTGTTGTCCAAACACTCCTTGAACTCTGTCACGGTGGGGCTGTGATCACTTCCCTGGAGCAGGCACCCTAAAACCTTCACAGATTATGGTGATATTTCTACGTTTCTTTTCTAAAACGCATTAACCTACTCAGTTCAGTGGCCATGATTTGAATTATTTTTGCAATTTCTAGAACTTGCTTCTAAAACTTAAAAAAGGCCAGTTCCCTAAGGGACAGCATAACAAATGGCTAAACACAGGAGCTCCAAGAGGTATCTGGAGTCAAAACCCCACTGTAGCACATCTTCTTTGCAGGACTGACTACTGACCTGCTTCTTTTCTGAGTAGGTGACCCTAAATGAACTCACAAAACAAATCTGACATTAGTGAAATTATGTTCAAACTCGAGACAGCTGAGCATCACTTTTCCCGCAGCAGAATCAAGACTGCTGATAGCAAATCAAAGCAATGTTGACAAACATCATACCAGTGTTACTGTTATTCCAGAAAGGCAGAACTTTGCATCCAAGTAGTGTTCTTATGAATAAATCAAGGGTGATGTCATACACAGACATCTCGAATCAGGGTAATGGCATTGTCTCAAATGCAGTGGGAGCAAAAATATTAAAATTCTTACAAGAGAAGATGTACTTTTTCACCATTGTTTAATTTCAAAAATTGCAAAGAAGTTTGCCTAAAGTTTACAGCAGGAAAAATCACCTCTGGCTGAATTAATGCGTGGGAAAAAAAAATCAATCCTAAAGGACAATTTTTTAAAAAATTATCATCATGTGCAGAGGGGGATAAGGTAATAGAAGCTGCAGGACAGAGCCAGATTCTAAGCTGGGGAGGTGCTTAGAATTCAATTCAGAGGGAGATGATGGGAGGTGAGGGCTTCTTTACGACACTACAGATCCACAGGTTCGGATCTGTAAATATATCCATAAGATATTTGAATATCCATAAGAGATATTCAAATCTACCATCATATAAAATACCTTGTATACCCTTTCTTATTTCTAGACTTACATAAATCTACCATTCTATAAATTTTCATATATTCATTTATGATTAGATTACAAGTTATAATTGTAAACCTATATAACTATTTCTATAGAGAGAGATAAACTATATATGGTATTTAACTTTTTTTCCACAAAATGAATTCTCTTTCAGATGTTTTGAGAATAGTGGCTTATTAAAGCAGGAATTGCCACAAGCAATATTTCACAGATGTCTGGGTTTAGATACCATGCCCATTGACAAGCTCTGGTTCTTCCTGAATTCTTTTATGCCCTAAAGCCTGAGTTTGCCTGGATTATTCCTCTCCTTCCACTTCCCCCACCTATACCATTCCCCCTTTCTCCTACCCTGCCTCTGCAGGTTCTACTCATGAGGCAGCTACAGGGCTGAGGGGTACACTGCAATTTTAGTTTGCATCTGGTGTGAAGAACCAAGCCTTTTACTACTCTAGAGCATCCCTATGTGCTGCTTCCTCTCAGGTTTGTTTTCCTGAAGTTGGATTGTGTCCCAAGGCTGTAAGTCTGAGTTATTTGGTGATTATTTGCACCCCTGTCCTCCTGGGTGGTGTTGAGTCATAGAGATATTCCTTGGAGTTTATAACAAGCACAAGTTAGAATGAGGAATAAAGGCATTTATATATTTCAGTTTGGAATTCTCTATCAGATGCTTGATATTTTTCCTTGCATAATTTATCTGCAGTGGAACCTCTATCCCACTTTTTGACCTGCACTTGCAGGAGCAGTGGAAGAGTGTAAGTGGATGCAAGAAGACGAATGTGATCAAACAAACTCAGTGAAAGCTGAGAGGAGGCAACAGAGGATTCCTTACAGAGCAGAATTATTGTATAATTCGCTGTTACATAGAACTGCTACGTAATTAGTTGTTGGGTTTTCTCTCCATATCCCTTTATACAGCCAGCTACTGTACTCAGAATTTCAAACATAGTTTCATAGGTATCAGCACAACATTTTTACTTGAACAAAGAGTAATCAAGATGCCAAAGGAACCAAACTTCCAAATTATAACTACTGAGGATGGTGGCACAATGCCAAACATGCTGGAAAGAAAATGAATTATTAATGATATTTTATTTGAACAAATTCAGTGCTTTCAAGTTTTTTTCTTGACTCTTGTCTTCCAGAATGCAGAAAACACTGTAATGCTGCATCTCAAATGACTTAGTAGCTATTTGCTCAATTGTGAAAAACAGAAGTATATATGAACACATAGATGATATGCACAGGAGAGGCACCAGATTTACAAAATTAGAATACTATTAACTTTAATAGAGTTGCTCCTACTTTGCACAGGTTTGGCACGTGACTGAATGTCTGGCAGTGCACTCCACTAGTGACATCAGCCACTCCAGCAGGGTGATGCAGGCAGAGGAATAACACATGTCATTTAAGAAACTAGTGGGTGTACTGGTATGAAAGGTGGCAGACTGAGAAATAATTCCCAAGTGCATCCTAGATTTCCTTGAAAAGTCTGGCAAACTCAATATCCAGTGGAAAAGGCCCTGGAGTGCTGGTGACAGCGGCTGGACATGAGCCCAGGTGTGCCCAGGGGGGCAAGAGGCCAATGGCACCTGGCTTGGGTCAGCAATAGTGTGGCAGCAGGACCAGGGCAGGGATTGTCCCCCTGTGCTGGGCACTGGTGAGGCCACACCTCAAATCCTGTGTCCAGTTTTGGGCCCCTCACTGCTGGAAGGGCATTGAGGGGCTGGAAGTGTCCAAAGAAGGGAACAGAGCTGGGGAAGGGTCGACAGAATAAGTCCTGTGAAGACTGCCTGAAGGAGCTGGGGGTCTTTATCCTGGAGAAAAGGAGACTCAGTGGGAACCTTATTGCTTTCTGCAACTCCCTGACAGGAGGCTGTAGCCAGGTGGGGGTCGGCCTCCTCTCCCAGGCAACAGGACAAGAGAAAATGGCCTCAAGCTGTGCCAGGGGAGGTTCAGGTTGGACATCAGGAGGAATTTCTTCACCAACAGGGTGGTCAGGCATTGGAAGGGGGTGCCCAGGGAGGTGGTGGAGTCCCCATCCCTGGAGGTGTTTGAGAAAGGTCAAGAGAAGGATCTTTCCCCTCTACTCAGCACTATGTGAGCACACTTGAAGTATTCTTTCCAGTTCTTTGCTGCCCAGTAGAAGGACATGGACACACTGCAGTGTATCCAGTGGAGACCCATTAATGTGATTAAGGGACTGGAGGACCTGAGGTGCAAGGAGAACCTGAGAGCACTGGGGTTGTTGCACCACAAGAAAAGAAGGCTCAGGAAATCTTACCAATGCGGTGGGTTGAAGAAGACAGAGCTACAATCTTCTCAAGGGTGTCCAGTGAGAGGACAAGAGGCATTGGGCACAAATGGAAATTTAGGGAATGCACTTTAAACATTTAAAAAAACTCTTTTTTTTTCTTTTTTTTTTCATTTTTTGTGTGAAGGTGATCAAATGGTACAACAGGTTGCACAGAGAGATTGTAGAGTCTCTATCCCTGGAAATATTGAAAACCCAACTGGACATGTGGACAAATCCCTGAACAACCTGCTCTAGCTGACCCTGCTTGAAGGAGGGGTTGGACTAAATGATCTCCAGGGATCCCTTCCAGCCGAATCTATTGATTCTGTGGCCAAGTGGTTTCTGTGCACTTTTCTCAGCTGGGAACACTGGACTCTGACAGCATAAGTAGTAACAGATACTGGGATTCATGATTATTGCTGTGTTGGTACTGTGATACTCTCATACCCCTGCTGTCTTGCATGTAATTTCTGCAAACTACAAGTGTTTGGGGTTTTTTCCCCTCTTTATCATAACAACTTATGATATACAGTCATGTGATCTGTGGTGATTGGTCCTATGGTTATTGCAGGCAGGAAAAGGGAATTCAGGAAACTTACTCATTTCCATGTATTCCGGAGTCAGTCCGGTGAAAGGTTCCAAGATATAGTCGAGGTCCCATTGCTGAGGGTCCTTTGACTGGTTGGTGTCCACTTCCTTTGGCTCAGTTCTTTCATCCTTCAGCTTCCTGAAGAGCTTCTTTAGCTTCCTGAGGAACAAAAGTTCAGATTGAACCAAATCTTTTTTTACCTTTTTTCCCCCTCAAGATTTGGCTCAAGTCTCTGTGCAGCAACACAAAATTCACCTTGTGTTACTTTGGTGCACAATAGGATGAGTTTACATCACCCTGTGAAGTTTTGATGCTGCTTATTGACAGATGACAGCTGCTAGACTTGAGTCCAGTACTTTTTAATTTTTTTTTCTCTCTAGATGGATATTCAATGGGGATCTTCCTGAAGTTCAAGCACCTTGGACCTAAATAATGTTAGTAATAAGTAATACTCTCAAGAACAACACACTGAGAACCTCTCCTTTAACAAAATGTAAGATTATGTGATTGCTTCATACTACATATCAACCATAGGTGCACTTTTCCCTCACCACGAAATTGGGAACTTCCAGTATAATATACTATTAAGGTAAAACATTACCAGATGTATAGTTTGCCCAGAGAAGCTGTGTCTGCCCCATCCCTAGAAGTGTCCAAGGTCAGGTTGGATGGAGCTCTGAGCAACCTGGAATAGTGGAATATGTCCCTGCCCATGGTAGGGGGGTTGGAACGAGGTGATATTTAAGGTCCTTTCCAAGACAAACTAGTCTGTGATATTTCCAATAGAGGGTGCAAGAACATACTGATAGCACAAATAGTGGTATCAATCACTCTCCCACTAAAATGGGGATACAAATCTCATGACACTGACAAAGATATGAGAGTAAAACAAAACCATTTCTAAAAGAAGAGTAAAATACTCCAAATGTACCCCCCAGGGATGACATTTCAAATGCACATGCATCAACAACATCACACTGTTTTACACATCAAGAAATTCCCATTGAAAAACACAGTAGAATAAAGTATTTCTTCAAAATCAAGGAGGTGAAACACAGTTAAATTAGCATAAAATAGCAAGGTTTATACTTTCTTTTGCAGATGATATTTATCTTTCACAAAAACATACGACACTATTTTATAGTTCTTCACATATGTGCCATATGAGCGAGAATCCAGATTAATTCCAGTGATGTCTTGCCAGTAGTGTAAGCAGGACTCTCCCACAAACTCTTCTCCCACAGCTTGTGATAAACCCTTTGAACTGTAGGTGTGTGGCCTGGAGACAGGAATATATGGGGGAAGGGGTTTTCCTTTGTGCCTCCAGTGAAGCAGAACTGCCTTTCTCAGACCCTGATTTTAGTATCAGGGCAAGGCAAGCTGGCAAACACTATAAAGGCTTTGCTGGGTGGGTTTTTTGCTTTATTCCTGAATTTACACTCAGCCACACAGGATCACTGTGTCACCACATTGCATGAGGCTCTGCAGCAGCCTGGAAATGAGTGGCTGAGGGATTTCTACACTGACCAGTGTTTACAGGACCCGATTTCATCATCGCCAGCATGGGGATTGTCAGATTCTCTTAAAATAGACCCAGATTGCCTCAGGCCCTGTCAGTCCCAGGATCACAAAGCTTCAAAAATAAGCAGGTCAACCCCATCCTTTGTTTCAGGTGCAATGAAGATGTAGCTCACGAGTCCAATGGTAACATCCTCAGTACTTTGGCAATGCTGGGGCTAACCAAAGAATTTTGGTACCCAGAACACTCAGATTACACAGTTTTAATAAAAGGGTAGGGGGAGATTTCAAATGTTTCACAAGAAAGAATTAGGTGAATCCCTACAAAGACATTTACCTCGTACATCGTGCAAACTCAGCCATTTCAAGACACTAAAATTCCCTTTCTCCCCCTCTGCTTTTATGGCAGCCAAGGGAACTTGTCTGTGACAGAGGGGATGTTAGTATTCAGAACGTAGGAGACTGGGGCAGGATTTAAAACCAGCAAAGAATTCCCAGGATGCTCTTCCAATATATCCCAATTAATTTCCTAATGCGAGGGACTCTCAGAGGACAGCGAACAATGAGTTCAAGACAGTTCCAATAAAAAGATTCAAGCTATAAATGTCCCTCACACTTCTGTGGGCAGATGACACTGAAGATCCTCTCATTGTCACAGTGCAGCAGCTGAGATAAAATTTGGGTGTGTTTAGATGTGGTCTGTGTGATCTGGTTAGAGCCCCACAGAACTGAGACGTGGAGTTTATTGCACACCCAAACCTCCCAGGAGAACTCAGTAACTAAAGCAATAGTTGTTGGTTTTAATGTTTATTTGGGAATGCACTAAATCCAGGACTCAGTCACTCAGGATAATTTTTAATTTTTCATCTGGCTATCTGTAAGCCAGGCAAGAGGAGCTGCATTTTTAACCATTTGGAGCTCAGCTTTGAAGTGTGTCTGTATGCTTCTTTTTATGACATTTTTTTAAAATATCAACTGACTGAAAGCAAGCCAAACTAATTATTTCAAATTTTCCACAGAAAAAAAAAATATACCTTTGTGTCATATCCAAGCATGTGAAGTTTGAGACCAAACAGAAATGTGTCAGAAAGTTAGAGGAAGAAAGATCAGGGATTTCCAGAGTGTTATTCTCCAGCTATACAGCAGTAGGGCCACGAAAATGAGTTTTGCAGAACCCTATAGCCATACATATGATTGTGATATTAAAACTGAGTACACTTTTTAAATGCACTTGTGTGAAACCTGGTTTTTAATTACTCAGGTCAACATTTTTAAACAAGGTCGAGAGACAAAAGTTTATTTTAACTTCTGATTTTTGCATGCCAGGCAGTGTGGAAGAGGTGGGTTTGCCCATTCAGGATGAGCTTCCAGGAAGCTTTGTGCTGAAGAGGCACATGCAGTAAACTTTCATGACTCCATATGAATCTGGGCAAGTAGAGAAAATGCAGGATAGCCATTATTTCTGGTCCTTTTGCCAGTGAATATCAAAAAGCAAGGTACATTCTTAAGGAGACTGAACAGCATGGAAGAAGAATTGACGTGGGATCAGAGGGAAAGAAAGTGAACAGGTTTTTGTCAGACTGTGTCTAGAGCAGTTAAAAATGATGTTGCAGATTCTCACAAAGGATTGGGAGCAAACTATTGAGTTAGATAAGAGGTGGGAACAGGGTTTAATTATGCTGTTTGCAATTCCCAGTATAACCAGTAGGTATTGCATTATGCAAGTTAACCAGCATCTGAAGAGAGCATAAAATCACTACAGCCCCACTCCTGAGAAAAACATTCCCTCAAGCTTCTGAGAAAAAAAAAGAGGAAAAGAAGAGAGGAGTCAAACCCCAAGTGATCCTGGCTGGGCTTCTAAGCACATGGTGCACTTCAATGAAGCCTTTTTTTAAAAAAATCAGAGAGGTGACTATACTATTGCTCTGTTTATACAGCAAAAAGGAGTATCAGGATTTAGGGATCTAGACATGATGATGACTTGGGAAAAATGAGAAATTTGTGGAGTGAGACCCAGTGCAACATAGAGGTTGGAGAGGCAGGACTTCTGGAGGGGAGGTTGAAATAGGACAGATGCAGGGAAATTACTTTGTTGGCACAAGTATTTGTGTCTTTGGTGGCTGTGCAGTCCTCACGGTGCATCTCTACCAGAGCTTGTCAGAAAGATTGGAACTGTGGGTCCAGTTAGGAATTTCTCAAGACTCTCAATTAACAAATGTCCTTGGGTACTGCAAAGGCAGATCACCTGTGACAGTCTCCAAGAACTGGATTAGGAGAGGGACACTAAGATGATCAGAGGGATGGAGCAGCTCTGCTGTGAGGAAAGGCTGAGGGAGCTGGGATTGTTCAGCCTGGAGAAGAGAAGCTTTGGGGTGACCTAATGGTGGCCTTCCAGGACCTGAAGGGAGCCCACAAGGAAGATGGGGAGAGACTATTTCCAAGGGCCTGGAGTGACAGGACAAGGGGGAATGGCTTCAAACTGACAGAGAGGAGGGTTAGATTGGATATTAGGAAGAAATTCTTCCCTGTGAGGGTGGGGAGGCCCTGGCACAGGTTGCCCAGAGAAGCTGTGGCTGCCCCATCCCTGGAAGTGTCCAAGGCCAGGTTGGATGGGGCTCTGAGCAACCTGGGATAGTGGAAGGTGTCCCTGCCCATGGCAAGGGTTTGGAACTGGATGATCTTTAAGGTCCCTTCCAACCCAAACCACTCTATGATGCTGAGAATACTTGCCTGAACAGACACGCAAGAAAAGACAGAAAAGCCCTATATTCCAGCTGCCAGGACTGAAGGATCATTTGTATTAGGTGTTTTTTAAGGCTATCCTTCCAGTTGATGCTTTTTGATTTGTAGCATGATAGAAAAGGGTACAGGAAGAAAGCTAAACAGAAAAGACTATTTGGTTGAGCAGCTGGAGCACTTTTGTCTAGAGAAAAGAACAACATTGACCCAGACTTTCCTGCCCTTGCCTGTAATTTTGTTCCCTGATTTTGGGAAGGAGCACTGAAGATCCATGTTTTTCTTCAGCCATATTCCTACAGTCTGTTCACGTAAGGAAAGGAGGCAGGAGGAGAACAAAAGGATCCAAATCTCTCATTCTGTTCCACAAATTTATGGTATAGCCATGCTTCCTTGGCACACTCAGACTTCCTGGATTCTGTGGGAGTTTCAGTTGTGTTTGGGATTTATTGGTTTTTCAGTCAGAGGAAAACAGCAATCCAAAACAGGAAAGCAAAAAAAGAACCAAGCAAGCAAATAAACAAATAAAAAAACTTAAATTAAGAATAATTTAGTAAAGGTGAAAAACAACATAAAAGATAATAGCTATGAAGGGGTGTCTTTAAATGGATTTTATTAACTCTTTGTATTCTCATCCAGCATAGTTAAGTGCATTTTGAAGTAAATGATGGAAACTGATGCTGAATAAAAAGACCATAATCACTAAATTCAATAGAAGTTTTGCCATCAACTTCAATAGGGCCAGGATTTCACCCTAAGGGTTTAGCACCAAGGTCAAAGACAGAGTAATAAAATAACCAGATGGACATTTTTTTCAATAAGTTCAGGAAAAAAAAACAGAACTGAAGAAATGGGGTTTAAAAGAAACTCTAGGTTAAAGTTTTCAAGCCCTGCAGCCTTTTAGGGTCAGTTCCTGTGACAACAGTAAAAGAATGATGGTATGTGACACATTTGAGTGAACTGTGGCATATTTACATCTGTTAAACTTGTGAATTCCAGCCCCACAGAATACACATTTTGGTCCAAGAGGGCTTAATTTTGTGTAATTCAAATGTTGCTGCATTTAACTAGCTGGTTTGATATTTTTGGGTGCAGAAATTAAAAAAAAAAAAAAAGAAATCACAGAAAGATTCAGGAGACCAACAAGCCACATCTAGCATAGCTGTGCAGCAGTTTCTACAAAAGCATTGAAGGAAAAAGCAAGGATGTGTCCCCCACGACCCCAAAAAATGCAGGGCTGACATTTGAAATTTAACTTCTCATCCAGCACTGACTCTGGATAAAGCAGAATGAAGACATTGGAAGATGCTTCCCAGTTCTGGCAGCATTTGGGATCCTAAAGGCAAAATGGATGAGTGTTGTTTGTAAACTCGGTTTATCATCTACTTGGCAGAATTCTTGAGGGAAAGAGACAGAAAATGGGACAGCTTTATGACTTTCTGCAAAACAAATAAAATGCCTCGGGTTTTCTGGTGAATAAAATCAAAAGGTTTTCTGCAAATAATCCTGAAATCTTGATATTTCAGTAAGGAAAAAAACTTCTGATGTGGGTCATGATAAAACTTAGCAGAGAGGTACTTCCATGCTACAGAAGTGTGGGGGACAGAAACAGATTCTGAAGAACAAATCTGTGATGGTCCCTTCTGCCTTACCATATGGGAAAGGTTGGTTGCAGCACCTGTACTCTGCCCTCAGTGAAAATACAGGGAGCCAATGGATGAACCTGTATTATTCACTCCGATTCTCAGAGAGGCACAAGGCAAGAAGGGGGAAAAAATGAAGTTGTTGGAACTGTAGATAAAGACATTGATTTATTTTTCTGCCACAAGAGGACTGTTCATCACAGTGTGTAGCCTGTGCAAAAGTAGACACCCAAAAACAAAACAACAAGGGAAAATCTGATGGATCAGTCCCCAGAGCGTGTCTGTGCCCGTGTGTGGGGGGCAGATGAGATAGAACAGGGTACAATTAAGGATCTAGCCCACAGCAGTGGAGGGGTCCATGCAGAAATAGCAGGTTAACTCTAATTTAATTAAGGGTTCAGTAAAGCACTGTGCTTCTCCTGGTGCAAACAGGTCTGGTGAGAAGGGCTGACCCCTACAGATATACACGTGATTTTCTTGAGAATGCAGACAAGCAAAGGGAAACTAGATATGCTTATTGCAGAATAACAAGATAGCATTATGACTGAAATGATTATTTATCTAGGGAGGAGAGGATGAAAGCATGTTTGTTTCTAAACAGTTTTAAAAATTGAGGCCACCATAGTTTGTTGGCAGAAGGGTGGGCGAGGAGAAACGCAGGAGAAAAATGGGATGAAATGGTCACATTCTTGCACCAAAGTGAGGGAAATGAGAAATAATTTGACATGAATTTCTGTTTGGACTGGATCAGCCTGTGCTTTCATGAGTCAAAAATAATAAATACAGTATTTCCAACATCATAAAATCACCATTAAAAAAGTCCAGTAGCAGTAAGTTTTTGGAAGACGAGAAACATGTCACCCAGGATTACGCTGAGAAAGCTTTAAGCCTTCAACATGTCAGATATTTTGGGAATGATTTACCACCCTTTTCTCAATATAAAATGTAAACCCAATGAGATGTAGACAGAAAACAGGCCTCCCTATTGAACTTTGACACAAGAATAATGAAACCATCCATAATCCACATCTGATTTGTTTGGGATTTTTTTTTTTCTATTTAAATTCCTTCCAAGAAAAAAAAAAGATCTTGCTTGGAAAAGGGAGGAAAATGGCTCATTTTAAATATATTTCCTATCTTTTGTGTCTCTTATCCTGGTTTCTAGTTAACATCTTCAAGGCCTTCTTTATGGCTGTGACCCAAAAGCTGCTGACACCAGAGCTCAAAGATCCTGACTAATTTCAGCAGAGTTGAGACATCTAAGTCAGACTCCTCCTCTACTACATTTCACAGGCCACTGCCACCAGGAAGCAAATCTTCCAAGAGGCAGAAGCAGGACATTCTTAGTGGATTCTCAGAGCCTGAAGATCCCCTTGGCACTGATGACAAGACAGAGAGGGTTTTCCTGCTGTATTTGCAGCAGAGGACTGTGCCCTGAGAATCCTTGGCAGCCACTGCAGCATCTCTCCCATACTCCAGCTCCAGCCTCACACAGTGACACACTGACACACAGACACCTTGGAAATGTGTGGATTTCATCTGTAAACCCATAAAACAGTCAAAGATCAAATACTAGATTTTAACATGCTTGATGAGCTATTGCTTTTCCCCACGCTAACTCTCCTCCACTTTAAACTAATTTGTATTCAATACTGCTATACTGAAAGCTTCTCTAAAACTTCCCAAGAGATCTATCACACCTTGCCTGTTTTCCCAGGTTCCTAAAATTAATTTCAATCAATTATTTAATATATTCAATCATTTTCTTTAAGCCATTTGCTGCAGATATAGCCAATTATTCAATGTAAAATACAGCCAGATCATTTCACCACAACCAAAAATGTGATTTATCATCACATTCAATTAGAAGCCACTGAAGGCAGTGGCAAAAGTTCCCATTCAGCTGAATAAGGATCAAGCCTTTAATTTACTGTGTCATGGGAATAAGGCATGGTAATGGAGAAGGCTGGGATACATACGGGATTCCAATTTCAAACAGATTATTTTGAATGAGTTGTTTTCCAAGCATGATGATGCTCAGCTGAATGCAGAGTTCCATCAAACAGCCTCCTGGAGCACACTGTAATTAAACAAAACCATGGAGTGTGAAGGGATTAAGAGGATTAATTGAAAAGCACCCACTTGGGAGAGCTCCCAATGTCTCCATGTGCCCGTTGCCCTTGCCACCAATTTGTGTGGGAGCACGGAGCTCATCCATCATTGCAATTCTGGGCTTGACAAGGTATTTCATCTCCACTCATAAAACTCCATTATGGAAAATATGCAGAGCTCTGAAATAACTTACTGTGCCCTGGGGCTACCATATTTCCTTTAAAAATATTTACTATATAATCAATGTAATAAACATAATGCAGTATCACCAATACTCTCCCAACATGATGTCTCCCAGGGGGGAAGAAAGGCTTCAATCTTGCAAGTATAAGTATATAAGTATATGTAAGCTTTATTGTAAAACCTTGAGCACATCTATCAGTTTTCAAGGAAATACCAACAGCAATTAAAGGGAATTTGGGAAAAAAAATAAATAAATTACAGGTTTAGCACCAAATGGCAACGGGCTACTAAAATGGCTATTAAAATTTCCAAGCTTCTAGTGATCTAGAAGGAGAAGCCAGATTCAAGTTTCCCAATGGCCTCAATCGAATCATGTAATGTTTATGCCTAAGTGCCCAGTTGTAAAGCATAGAAATGGTGAGGCTTCACCTGAGAGAGACCATGAAGCACTCAAAACTGCAGAGAGAAAGAATATAAAATTGCCTTAGATGGAAAATTTGGATTTTATCTATTTATGGTGAAGATTTAACCTCTTGTTTTAACGTGTTTTCTATTTTTCCCTTATTGCCTATACACTGTATACATATTTCTCTGTGTTAAGGATTTTTTTGTTGTTTTAATTTCATATTTACTTATATGTACTTGCCTCTTCCATTCGATACCCTTCGAACACATACACGTAACGACCAGGACGGCCAACAAACCTGAAAGCAATAACAATCTATGAAATAATATACAAATGGGAAATATGAACTAATAAAAAAGCAGGAAAACAAGCTACCTTTAACACCATAATTATTCGTTCATATAAGCTACAATAATTCAGAAGCAGCTTCTTCAATATGAATTTTGAAAGACTCAGCACCTACTCAACTTTGTTCATTTAAAATCATTTCAAAGCAGTAGGCCTTTACAAATTGTTTTCTGATATGTCTTGATAAAATAATTTTAATAAAATATTTTTTCTTTGTTAAAACAAAATAATAACAAATTCCCTCTTTTGATTAGAGATCACAAATAGAAATGGGAACACATATCCTAATTTATGTTCTCTTGCATCTGAGTAATGCCTGAATAGAATTATTTATACATCTATACACAATCAAGACTTTTCTGGCAACACAGAGGGAAACAGTGAGATTTGACTTTATTATAGCCATACAACACAAAAATATGGTCAAAAAAATAAAGAATTTGGTGATATTTTTCGTTGGAGCCTTACAATCTTTACAACTACTGGCAAAATGTATCATTAACCCTCAAATCAAAGATGCTGAATGGGATTAGTGAAGACTATAGATTAACAAATTTTACAACCCCCAAAAGGAACACAAAAATTATATGGAACAGAATCCAGAGGATGTTTTAAAGTGTTTTTTGCCAAAGTTTTAGCAAACAATCATTTCAAGCTTCCCATTCAAAAGCATGTGGATGACCTGGTCCCAAAAGACAGTGATCCTGAACCCATAGGAAGTCACACTTATTTAGCAGGACAGCTGAATTAGCTTTTTGGTCAATCAGTTCATTTGCCAAACCTCAGCTTCCAGTTGACTTAAATCATTCCTTAATTTAACTTGATATGGTAGAAAAGTGCAAAACCATGAGAAAGGAATCAAAAAAAAATAGTTCCGTAATTTTAAATGAAATAGGAAAACCTCTCTTTGCTGGATGATGCCTCAAGGAAAATTTGCTAAAATGTGGAAGGTGAAGGCCTGTAAGCACTACCTTTCACTTTTAAAAGCAACACTCTTTTTGAACTAAAAGGGATTATTTTCTGAGGTGGGGATTACTCTTATTTTAGAAAGGACTGGTCGCAGTTCAGAACAGGGCTCAGGCCAGTACTCAACATCATGCCCTGCCAGTCAAAGGACAGCTTTAAACAACCCTGTTTATGATATTTTTTGCAGAGCTGGTGAAGCTGTTCAGTCCCAGGCCATAGTTAGGTAGCCCTTAGTGCCCATTTTTAAACACAGATCCAACTAACATGGACATATATAGGAATACATAGACACATATATATCTATATGTAAAGGATCTTTATCCTACCTTCCTTTAAAAAAGGCAACATAAAAAATTGGTGCATAAGAATTCACAAACTTCAGTAGGAATGCCTTCAAAATCAGTCTCTCCTCAAAGGTTTTCTCTGTTTTTGGTATTTCTGGGGGAAAAAAAAAAAACAATAAAGCAAGAAAATTGAATTAGTAAATGCATAGAAATCCCTGAATCCCCAAATACACACAAAACCCATAAACCAGTCTTAAAACTTTGAGATCATACTGATTTTGATTTTGTACTTTTAATTTGTACCAAAGCACACTAGGTCTGATTTCCAGAGAGTCTTCAAATTTCCAGATGGAAACTGGAGGCTCTTTGATAGAAACATTAATAATGACAACATAATGAACTTGTTTTTCTGACAGGCCTCTGACAGCTCATCCCAAGTTAATCTTGGTTGTCTGTCCAATACCCTGGTGGCAAAACCCCAACAGATTCTGAAATCTGCCCTGGACCTGACCATACCTCACTTTTCCAGCCTTTCTCATGCTCTTACTGAGAGACCTGGGCAGATCCTATGAGTTTCCCCTGCTTCAGGTCATGTGAAATCCTAGCACAGATCTCCTCTGTCATTTGCTCTGACATCTCTTATTAAATACATATATTTTAATACAAATATAAGTATTTAATACATATATTTCTTATCATATATTTCTTATCATAATGTATATATCAATAAAAATAGATAGAAAATATACATTTACATGGTTCTCCTCCTAGTTATCTGGAGTTTGAGTGGGAAAAAATGGATCTTGATATTATTCAATTGCACAAAGTAAAATCAGTATAAATTACTTTGATGCATGTAAGACTACGTATATTAACGTACACAAGTATATCAGTTACATAACAAAACATTAATATTCTCAATGCATGAATGATGAAAGCAAAGTACAAAGACTTTCAACCAGAAAAAAACACCTTAAAAGCCTCCTTAGCTTTGTGTACACAAGCCTTCCTTTCTGTAATGAGATTGTTAGTGTGCTCAATGCTAAACACAAAACTAAGCTCCTTTTTGAATCAGGCACTAACTGAATTATTAATTGCCATGCAAAATAAAGGCACATTCTAAATTTCTTTAGATAATTTGTGAAAATGTGGCTTAAACATTTTCCGTATTCATCACTATGTTCCCAGATTTATTTCCAATTTCCATGGAAATTTTTTAGCAGCAGAACATATAAGACACAAGTTTTTCAAATTGACAGTAGAATCCCCTTTTAAATATTCTATAGGGGTTAAACTGTTGTATTTCCACACTCATCCTGGGCTGTAACTAATGTGAGAGCAGATAATTTTATAATTAACTTTATTATTCTTGGCTGAGTTTCTGTGACACAACAGAAGTGGGGAATAATAAGGAGATGCAGAGCTCTGGCTTTAAGGATTTCATTAAGAATACTGCTGTACTTGCACAGTTTTGTCTTGGGCACAGTTTGGTTGTTCTGTTTGCTTTGGTTTTGGGGTTCTTTTTCTTAAAAAAGAAGTATCGTGGCTTTTTCGAGCACTAAAGGAACTGCCAACTTTATGAGTCTCCACTGCCAGGCTTTATTTGTGATACTTTCAACTATATTTTCATTAAAAATCAGTGCACAATCCGATGAACCCTAAGGCTTTGTTAGCCCATATGTATAGAAAAGCTTAATTAAACCTTCAAGGGATTTGGACATTTTGTAGATGATCCCACATGCTGAATAGATCCACAGGAGAACAGCTCAGGGCAGCAGGAATATCAAGTAACAGCGGTGAAGCTTTTAATTTGAGGGCAAAAAATCCCAATCTTTGCCTCACAGAGAACCCCCCCAAGGATGAGCTCAGCCTCTGGATGAACATTTGCACACCTTATATGGTCCCACAGGCTCACTCAGCACTTCTCTCCCTCCCCACACTCAGACATGCTATACCATAGCTGTAGAGGCATGTGTAGAATTTGTCCCCCAGCCAGTCGAGTCTGCTGCACAAGAAATGCATTCAGACAGAAGAGGTGCCTTAGGAACAGAGAAAACTTTCCCCCCCGCCTCCCAAAAAGATGAATTATGGTGGGTTGTGCATGTTACACCCAAATTGGGCAGCTGAAACTTTCCAGGTGGAGAACGAGCTGAGATAACTGTGGAATGAGTCTGAGCTCACTGAAGGAGCTTCTGCTTTTGTAAGACACAAACACAAGTAGTTTTGGTTTTTATCCCTGTTTGACTGGTTCTTCCTTGGCCTCAGTGAATTCTTCCCTGTGAGGGTGGTGAGGACCTGGTACAGGTTGCCCAGAAAGGTTGTCCAAGGCCAGGTTGGATGGGGCTCTGAGCAACCTGGGATAGTGGAAGGTGTCCCTGCCCATGGCAGGGGTTTGGAACTGGATGATCTTTAAGGTCCCTTCCAATCCAAACCATTCTATGGTTCTAAGTTACAAGTAGAGCACATGAGCTGTAAGTGTAGTCTGGCACCACCTGATTACTGAAGATGACCTGTTCAACCTGGAAGTGCCAGGATACAATCTGCACTTTGGCTGGTCTGATCTGTGATAAGGGAGCATCAGTTCTGGGCCTACAAGAGGAGTCCTAGTCCATCCTGTACGAGCTCTCTGTATTGATCACAACAAAACTACTACTTCTTTTCACCCCCAAGCACTGACTGAGCAGGAATTGAGGCAGATCCATGACTTTGATCCTATGATGAATGCAATTGCTGTCAGCGGCACAATTCTTGTGCTCACAGATGTAACTTTTCAGTTGAAAAAGATTCAAGTGTACTTGGGGTTGGAATAGCAACCTACGCTGTCAAGAGCTATTCCTCCAGCCCAACAAGTGTGTTCCTCAGCTTGTCAATTAACTGCAGTGTGAAAAGAGAATGAAGTGTGTTTTGCTCTGCTCAGCAAAATGAAAGTTCAAAAGTTAAGGAGCATTTATCAGCATGCATGAATAGTAATTTTTTTAAAACATTGTGATTGCATTTGGCATCTGAGCCTAGCACTGGTGAAAGCTGCCTAAATGAACTCTCTAACTCTTGTAATTTGTAGCACTAGAGATTATTCTGACTGTTTTGTTCTTAAACAAAACATCTGATTGATGATTAGGAATGTTGCCTAAATAAAGTTAACCATGCACAGTGGCATTTTGTGAAAATTAATTGCTTTCTCTTTGTCTCTTTCAAATACTTTATGAATTTAATCTAAACTAATAGGCTGTCCTTACTGGTAAAACCACAGGACCACATTTCAAAGATTCAGGATAATCTCAACTACAAAACTGTAGTTTACTATGTTTTTCAAAAAACAGGACTAAAAGAGATTTTATTCATTTGTGACTTTAAAAGTGTCCAGAGAAAGTGAGAACAAGAAACAGAAGTCTCAAGAGTTCTTCAAGGTTTTAATCTGGAGTCTGCTGGTTCCAGCCAGCTTCACATCACTGCAGGTTTTGCAGGGAGGGAACCTGCAATTTGCAGTGATGTAGGCAGGTGCCAATTGTCATAAAGTTTCTAATTCAGATGTCCAAGTTTAGATGCCCAAAATTAACAGGTGGAGCACTTGCTATAGTTAAAGACATTTGAGGTTGCTTGGAATAAATAACTTCATGTTCCTAGACTTTGAAGCATCTAGAATTAGAGGTGATGCGTGAACATGTGGAAAATAATATCTATAACAGTAGCTATAAGAACTGCATGTTAAACCCCTATCAGTAAACACCTTTGCTCTAATTTATACAACAAAAGAAAACCCCAGTCTAAACCCTACTAGTAAACATCTTTGGCCTAGTGTATATAACAAAACAGTACTCTAGCCTAAATCTCTGTACTAGTCAAATAAATGACTTGCCTTTAAAGGACTTAAATATGTTGCCAGGCTTGTAACAATATGATGACATCTAAAAAAATTTTACAAGTCCAACCTCTAACTGAAATAGGTATCATTAGAAAAAAGTCCAGCCCAGACATGCCTCTAAAATCAAAAAAAAAAAAAAAAAGAATTTGAGTGGTAAGGAAATGGTTAATAATACCATGGTAAGCATTTGCCAGAGTCATCAACATCTTTGAAACAACCTAATGACTGTCAGTAAACCCAGCTCCCAGCCCTAAACAGGTATACTCAAAACACATACCTGGGCAAAAATGCTCAACCAGGTCTAGAAAGGTGGACCTTGGCACAGAGCCAGTGCAGAAACACCAGCTGAGATCCTGGAAACAGCCCTGCTCCATTCATGTGGCATTATGGCCAAGCTCATTATCCCTGCCAGGGACAGGTTCCATGCTGCAGCTTTGACCCCCCGAAAAGTTCCTGAGCATCCCACCCCACACAGGCTTGAATATTTTCTCTGGCACTCTCCAGGAGGAAATATTCCCACTAGAGCCTCCTTGCATCCCCTCGTGTCAATACTTGTAATGTACTAGAGAGGAATGTGGTGAGATAGTTTTACCAATTTCTGTCAGCCATCTGGCAACAGCTCCATAAATTTCATCAAGGATAAGTATCACCACGAGGTTAATGATGACAGCAGTGGCAGTCACAGTCACTCGAACATTTGACCTGGTTGTCTCATTTGTGCTGAATGACAGAGCTGCTGCTGTGGTAATTCGGTACACAATGACACCAAAAACTGCTGAAAACGTCAGCATAATCTGCAAAGAAATGCACACATAGGTTAGTTCAAGTTTGCTACTGGCATTTAAACAGAATTTAACATGGGTTAGTTCCATGAACTGGTATTGAGTTATTTCTTAGAGCAACACGATAATATGAGGATAATCAAATGAAAATGTGAGAATTCAAAACTCACAGACAGGGACATAAACAAGAAAATGGACGCAGAACTCCAAGCTGGCACAACAATTAAAGTGTCACAGAATGATCGGAGGGCTGGAGCACCTCTCCTCGGAGGACAGGCTGAGAGAGTTGGGGTTATTCAGCCTGGAGAAGAGAAGGCTCCAGAGAGACCTCACAGCATCTTTCAGTGCAAGGGGGTTTATAAAAAAGAGGGAGAGTGATTTTTTACATGGGCAGGTAGTGATAGGACAAGGTGGGGATGGTTCTAAACAAACAAACAAAAAAAAAGGAGAGATTTAGGTTAGATGTTATTGAAAAATTCTTCCCTGTGAGGGTGGGGAGGCCCTGGCACAGGTTGCCCAGAGAAGCTGTGGCTGCCCCATCCCTGGAAATGTCCAAGGCCAGGTTGGATGGGGCTCTGAGCAACGTGATTGTGGCAGGGGGATTTGAAGTAGATAATCTTTAAGGTCCCTTCCAACCCAAGCCTCTCCATGATTCTGTGACACTGATTCTATTCCTGAAGTTGCCATGTCCATTCTGACTTAAGTTACACACATCATTGACGTGGTGAAACTCGGGTTTTTTGGGTTCAAATGCAGCTACTGAGCAAGATCTTTTTCTCTGGCAACAGGTTCAGATGCCTTGGACTGGAGGGCCTTCATGTGCGTGCAGGTAAATGGGCTTTACTGGCTGAAACTGCCCCACCTCTGCACAGTGGAAGTGGCAAATTACAAATTAATAAAAAAATAATTTCCTCTGTTATTATTAAGACTAACCTAAGAAGGGTTACTAGGGCTTCACTTTACATTTGTGTCCCAGAAATCACTTCGTATCCTTGGCATTCCTCGTGGGTTGGCTTTGACCCATGAGATGAGGAAAGTCAGCCCTGCTACTTAAGGTCAAGTTCCCACAAGAAGAATTTGAATTTCACAGGGCTGTGGTATTCTGGTTAAAAAAAAAAAAAAGTCTAAAACACCCCACAGTGAAAAAAAAATCAATAAAATAGCAATAAAAAATTGCAAATTTTCATACTCATAGCAGAAAAAGGGGCAGAAGACACATTTTTCTCTTTCATTTTTGCCTTTGGCAAGAATTCCAATGTACATTCATTATTTTAGGTAAAACATCTTGAGATCCTCAGATGAAAGAGACTACCTAAATGTGAAAGATTAGACTATTGTAATTATTTCACTTGGCCTAGGGGCCCAGATTCACAACATGGGTTTAAGGAAATTTAACAGCTCATTTTAATGATCCAGCAGTAGTTTATTGAATTCCTGTGTGCAGAGGAAGGTTGCTGCATGAAAAGGAACTATTGCAAAAGAACCAGAATGAGATTCAGAGTATTATTAAAGGTTGAAGGTGAAAACTAGGCACATTTTGCTTTAATGGAGAGCTAGTAAACATACTAAAAAAATAATGATTTGGAGAAACTCCTGGAGATATCAGATGAAATTCACAAATAAGCTTTGTCAGAAAATAGTAACGAAATATTAGATCTTGTGAAGTATCTAATTTTTACTTTTTAAAGACCTGTTTCAATAATTTTAAATGAAATGTGGGTGAATGATGAGTTTTTGCTTCATGCTAATGTTTTTCATTCAAATAATGGTCTAAATAAAAAAATCTGAGCCTAAACAAATTTAAATGAAAACTTTTCCAATGGCATAAAATATTCTTTCATTTTGTCTTGTAGTTTTAATTGTGTTGAGAGAATGTTTCTAATTTTTGTATCTATTTTTCTCTTTTTTTTCTTTTGACTTACCTACCAACCATGCAGAAAGAAATCTGATTCATGCTGAACTACCTACTCAGCTCTTTCTATGACAGAAGTGGTGCAGGAACACAAAGACCATAACTTTTTTCTTACTTACTCATTGCAATCTCTACAGTAGAGAGTAAAATCCCCAGCAAAGAGAGAAAACAAAACAGCCCTAGCTGGAATTAATCTAATTCACCTTCCACCTCTACAGTCATCCTGAGATCCTTTCTTGTTCCCAGTTGAAGCCACAGATTCTTTCCTCTTAATCACCTTCCTAACACTCTTTTCCTGTTTCTTTTCCCTGTGGATTTCCTTGAAAGTTTTTACTGTGGTGGTAGACAAGGGAAACCAGCAAAGCAAACTTGAATGCATCAGTCTGGTGATGATGAGCTCTCTGGGCCTCCACAGACACCTTTCTCCATCACAGGTTTCCACTTAGGAATATCTCAACAGTAGAGGAAGGAGAGTCAAGGACAGTCATCACTGAACAGAGAAAGAGGAAACTTCAGATCATGGAAGATGAACAAGCAAACTCTTAAACCTTGCCAAAGGATGGAAGGGATCCATAGCAATGAGGAATGTTACTGGAGAGTGAGATACTATCAGAGCAATGCACTATTGTGGCCTCCTCCATTCCTGCAGTGCAATTGCAAGGTATACAAAGTTACCAAAAAAATATGTTTTATTTGCTTAAAGAACAAAAATATTTGCTTTGCACAAGCACCAGAGCTTCAGAAACTGTCAGTTGCCTAGATGTTTTTAAACATCTGCTTAGATACAGATGGAAAAACACTCCTTTAGGAGTCTTCATTGTCTGTGCATCCAGCAACAATGGGAAAATTGAGGAGGGCTTGTAGGACTGCACGGTGAGTGAGAGCACAGTTCTCACTCCCCAGACAGTCACTGAGAGGGAAAGAATGGTTCCTGTACCTTCCCAGCTTTTCTCTCATTCCTGAAAATACCTCTTTTGCCCAAATTCCAGGTCAGGCAGTCACCTTTTGTTCAAGTGCCCTCTTTGGGTTTTGTTGTCACTGCCAACATTTCATCTGGCCAGTTCTCCCCCCAAGCTGTGGCCAACACTTTCTTCCCTGAATATCTAAACTAGTCCATCAAGGACTGAACTGCTTAGAAACAGATGTGAAAATTGGCTGCAGGAAAGGTCACCTACTGAGCCTGGTATGAATGAAGACAAACAGGAAAGCAAACTAGATCTGAGAAGGAAGCTATAAAACCTCGTGGGCTACACTGCTACCTTCATCCAAGTAGGATAACAAATTTAATGTTCAAATAGTTCTTTGGCTCCCCAGTAGGGCTATTGTAGAGTCAAGTATTACACCATGTGAGTAAGAAGAGGCAAAAGGGTCCAAAAGGCAGAACAGGCTGAACTCTTGTGCCACGACACAAATTGGTTTTCCTCCTTCCTCTGACTGAGCCAAAGGCGCTGCACACAAAGAAAGGCTCCAGAGATGGCATTACTCTGCACCACCCTTCACCCTTCCACCAGCTACCAACATTTTCATCACATGCTCAGAAATCTTTGCCACAAAATTCACCTTCTAAATATGGAGTTTATTAAGTGTGACATACGCTATCACTAATCACACTCAAGCAAAACTTGCAGATGCCCAGCTGAGCTCAGATCTCCTGCTACCACTGATCTTACAAGGCAAAAATAAGACCTGTGAGCTTCTGTCCTAAAATCCCTGCAAAAGACATTGCTTAAATCAAGGCTGAATCTGCTGCCTCCTCTGCAGTCCAGTGAGGCTTTGTGTACAATAAAAGAACTGTGACCAGACTTTAAAGCATCCATAAATGTGTAAAATAATCCTTGGAATTATTTGGTGGTGTAAAACATGACTGACTGGGCAAGAGAAACAAACCCAATTTCTTTTTTCGACCTGCACTTTTAACAAAAAGGAATTAAAAAAAAAGAAAAACAGAGTTCTTGAAGGAGGATTTACAAAAGTGAAGGGCACGAAAGAAGCACAGAAATAAAGAGGAAAAAAAAAGAGGAAAGATTTCACAATTAGAATACCATTCACAGCTTCAAGAATCATCAGGGAAAGTATGGGATGTAAAGGTGGTGGACAGAACACAGCAGCATCTTTTTATAGTAATGTAGACATCTTCATGGACAAAGCCTATGGATTTGGGACACCAGACCCTTTGGGCCTGAAACAGGGGGTATTAAAAATTCAACATTCACTTCTGCAGCACTAGAAATTGCAATGTGTGTGTGTGTGTGTGTGTGTCTGTGTCTGAGTCTTCTCTTTCTGTGTGCTGCAGAAATGCAAACACACATGTAAATTCAAGATTTCATTACCTATTACTTGTTTAGTGCTTACAGCTAAAAAAAATTTGTGTGAATAACGGAGGTAGACCAGACCAATTTAGTTTCCCCAGTACAATTCCATTGCACAGACCAACAACAAACTTTATGTTTCCAATTCCTGTTTAACTAATCTAGCAGACAAAAAGGGAAACATCACATACAATAAAGAGTGGATTGTAATGTCCACATAGGAAAGCAGAGCCAGCTCTCCCTCATCAAGAGCTGGCTTGAATTCCATCCAAGGTTTGCAAGTTGTCCAACATATAAATAATGCTCAAAATATTCTAAAAAAAAATCACTGTACCCATTTCACCAAATGGTGAAAGTCAGCCTAGTTCCATTAGTCTCTAACAGAAGTTGAAGAATTGGAGCTCTGAATTTTACATCTCACAAACTGTAGGTTATAAACCCTTCATAAATCTCTCTAAGAAGTTACAGTGAGCAGGGAGTGTAATACATAGGCTATGACTCAGGAAAGCACTTTAAGCTCATGCTTAGGGCAGATTTAAACATGTGGTTAAAGTCAAGAGCACATGTAAGCACCTTGTCTGCAAAAGAATGACTTGTAAAAGCTAAAGCAGGGCTATATGCTTAGTCATGCTTAGTATATTCTGCTTTAAGTGAAGTCATGACTGATGCCAGTTAGAGGTTCTGTCTAAAAAGCAAATGGATGGTATTGACTCAGGATGGTAAATTAACTCAAGGTATTGCAAATACATACATATATATATGAAGGACACACCTAACGTACAGAAAATGTACTTGATATACAATTCATATATCTTTATAAATATACGTGCATATATTTATGAACGTGTAGACATTAAGTTGTCTTCCATCTGAGCACAAAATGTTTTTGATTGTCAGCAAAAAAAAAAAAATCTTCAGAGGACATCTGTTGCAATACATGTAAGTTTGAGTAAATTAGAAATACACTTAGGTACTTTAAAATAATTTAGGCCCAAAGTGAATTTTCCATGTTAGATGCTCCGACAGTGTAAACAGGCCTATTTCATGTCCATTTTACACTGGCTGTAGATGTGAATACAAGCTTTCAGTCAGCAATTACAGTAACCAGAGGGATAATGGGATCCTCTACAAATTTAAGGCTTGTTAGCCACACTTTCCTATTGTTCAGCAGCTTGATGATGTGTTTATGCGTTGCTGGAAATTTCGTGAGGACAGTGGTGTCTACATTTTAGAGTCGGCTGTCCTGCACACCTTTTCCTTGTTCTCAAGTGAGGACTGTGTACCATGATCTTCCCCAACTACAGTGCAGTCCATCCCTGAATGTGCCTTGGACAAATACTCTGCTTTATATCACCCTTATGTCACCTGTTCAGAAGGCTCAATGCTTCTGAACGTCACCGTGACCGAGGCACATAATGCTGTGCTCACAACCAAATGCACGGTGGATAACAGAGGATGGAGCACAAACCCTGTGGGAGAGGCAAAACCTAATAATGAGCTTCTGCCATTACAGCAAGTCATCCAGCCAACAGCCCTTCCATAAGCAGCCTTTGGAAAAAGGGAATAAAGCTGGAGGTAGGCCCTGAGCTCTATAAACCCTCCTAGTATTTCTCACAAACTGGAGGTTATAACCCTAGCTTCAGATTTTTAGGCGTATTTGAGAACACCAGTTCAGGGTTCCACTGCTCATCACAATGTCTCTCACACCTAATAAATGTGAAGAAATGCAGGTTTTGTTACCATAAATAAAATCAGTCCGAAGTTGGCCGCGTATCCAGGCAGACGGTCACTGCACGTCAGCTTCTCCTTTTCATCCTGTAGACAAAACACACAGACAAAACAACAGGCATGACAGAACTGTATGATAGGAAACACTAGAATTAGTAAGACTTGTTGTTGGAACACATTCCCAAATTCCCTGCCGTGATTTTGAATAAGATTATGTGATCTGGAACACCGATATTTTAAGATAGACTTTAATTGGAGAGAAAAGAGAGTAAGAGAGTAAATAAGATGTAGAAAATGTCTGCAAAAATCAGAAAATATCCTATGTAACTATGATTTGAAAAAAATTTTCCAGGTCTTACTAAATTTTATATTGGGAGAAAGCCCTGTGACTCACCTTAATTTACATTTAGGCAAAACAAAATTCAACCATTTTTTTTAATTACTTCTTGTAAAATTACAGAAGAATAGTGCTTGAGACAGAAATCAAGACAAGAATGCTGATTACCACTGAACCCATTTTTTTTTGTCTAATGGTCACACTAGCCCAATGTAATTCAGGTATTTCCTGCAAGTCACCCCAATCCATCTCCTGGTACCTGTTCCACAGGAAAGAGAAACTACAAAAGCAAGTCCCCTCTGTGATCTCTGCTGGCAACCTTGTTTTCCTCATGGATAAACAGCATCTCCCTCTTCATTGCATAATTTAAAGCAACTGTGATCAGTGAAATCTAGTACGCTCTTACTCTCCCCACACAAACTCAACTCCATCTCCAGCCACATGTACATCTAAAGATATTTGAAGATGGATTTATATAAGAAATATGACTCCCTCCTCTCAAAATAGGTTTCTTAAAATAATAATAAGGTCACTACTTTGTTTAAGTTAACCTAAAACTGTATAATCAAATTAACTAAGGACACAAAGCCAGCTGCTGTTTGTATTTCTGTGAGCCACCCATTGCTATCCCATGGACTGGTACTACACTTACACCACTTACACTGGAGTTAGCCCAGAGTTATTCTGAATTTAAATGAGTTTAAATCAGATTAGAATTCAGGTCAGAGGTTTCCAACAGACCATTTCTAAGGCACAATTGTCCTCAGATAAACACAAAAATCTGGGAGCGTTGTGCCTTTGCGTAAAGTTTTCCCAAAGTAGCCTTAGGAATTCAGCAGATTCTCTAAGTGCAGGAATGCAGCCGTGGGTTTTTCTCATGGAGTTTACTGGGATGTGGAATTAGACCTAAGACACCATCCTGTCTACACATCCACTGCCATTGTCGTGGTGCCTCAAACGCTGTGGGAAGGAGGATTACTCAGCATCCCCTCTCCTCGGCTCTGCTGTTCAAACGCACAAACGAAGCGCGTCTCCTTCGGGAGGGTGTTGGCAGGACTGGGCCAGAGCAAACCCAAGCAGAAGCACAAACAATTTGGCCCAATGTGTGCAGTACATAAATATTCTATAGGGTGCATAAATGGAGTCCATCATTCGGCTGGAGGGCTACTTGAAAAAGCATTTCTGTGAACACACAGATACATTTCATTTCACTTTGGCTTTTACTGCTCAGCAATTACACAGGACATTAAAGAAGTTCTAAGTGATTATGCTCCAAGAAGGCCTGAAGGATACCACGTTTTATAATTTCACTAGGGAAAAAAACACTAAAGAAGCAAACCAGCAGAATGAGTTAATGAAGGCCAAAGCAGTTAAAGGAAAGAAGAAAATATTTTGCAACCATACTGAGGTAGAAAGAGAAGATTATGATTTATAAAAAAATGACCAGGAAGAGGCAAAATGGCGAAGAAAATTGCTTCAAAAGTGTCTCTAGCTTTGAGAATTTTGAAAAATCATAGAATCATAGAATCATAGAATAGGTTGGGTTGGAAGAGACCTCCAAGATCATCAAGTCCAACCCCTGATCCAACTCCAATTACTATATCATGGCACTAAGGGCCACGTCCAATCTCTTTTTAAAAACCTCCAGGGATGGTGAATCCACCACCTCTCTGGGTAGGCCGTTCCAATGCCTGATAACCCTCTCTGTAAATAAGAAATCATAATATCAAGATCAAACTTTTTCACATATAAATCACAGTTGTCAAATACTGAGTAGCAAATTAACTAAGGTTTTTCATGTTTGGGGGGGTTTTGCTTACTATTTCTGTGATACTATTTTGATAAGACAGTTACTGTATTTTCAAACATCAGTAAGAATTTGGACATGACCTACTGGCTTTCCAAGTCAAGAAAAACCTCACATTCTGGAAGACTCAACAATTTACAAAACTGAGAAATTAGGGAATACCTTAAGAAACAGTTGTCCATTATGAAACAGAAGTAACAATCTGCCCTGCTTGCCCTACCTACCACCTTTTCTTTTTGGGGGTTTTTTGTTTTGTTTTGTTTTGTTTTTTTTTTTTAAATAAAACAGAGCTGGATACTTAAAAGAAAGAAGAAAAACTTGGCAAGTTGAGCTATGATTGACATATATTTTTAGAGATTAATACAAGAAGTTAAGATGTACCTAAGCCTACATTTTTAGGCATTAAGAGACATCAGGATTAATTCATTTAAGAATGCCAACTTCAGGAGAGTTTAAGGGCTGAACACATCAGTGTTTGGCTTACGTAGCCTCAGCGTATGCATTAGGAATGCAGAGGCATCTACCATCACCAGTACCTGGGTTTAGCACTTGAATATTGATGAGTTCAATAATATAAGTTCCTGGAATAAAGATTTAAAAGCATAATTGATTATTAAAATTTCAATTTATTACAGGGAATAACTAAATGAAATATGGACCACCTCAAAAAAACCCAACTTGCTGAACAAGACAAGATTAATCCTTTCTCTTGGAATGTGTTGACCTTGGTTGGCTCTCAGGTGCCCACCCAGCTGCTCTCTCCCTCCTGAGCAGGATGGGGGAGGAAAATTCAGATGGAAAAGCTTGTGAGCTGAGATAAGTACAGGAAGATAATTTACCAATTGTTATCATGGGCAAAGCAAACTTGACTTGGAGAAAATTAATTTAATTTATCACTATTTAAAATATATTTGGAAGGTCGGGAATTAAAACAAACATTTAAACTTCCTTCACCTCCCTCAAAACTTCTCCCAAGGGCCAAGTCCACTCCTTCCTTCCTGACTTTTCTACTTCCCTCCCCAAGTGGGGCAGAAGGATGGGGAATGGTGGGTGATGGTTTCTGTCCATAGGGACTTCTCTCTGCCATTCCTTCCTCCTTCCACTGCTCCACTGCCCCAACATGGGTCTTTGCAGAGGCTTCAGTCCTACAGGATAAACCTGCTCCAGCATGGGCTCTCCAGGGTCTGCAGGGAAACCTCTGCTTGGACACCTTGAGTATTTCCTCCCCTCCTGCTCTCACCTTGGTGCCTTCAGGGCTGTATCTCACACTTTTCTCCCTCTCTCCCCACTGCCAGGCAGCTTTTTACCCTCTTTACACCCACTTTTCCAGAGGTGCCACTGGCACCAGGTACATCTACAAGTATTGGTGCAAGGGCACAAGGAAAATCACACTGAAGAAAGCAACGCAGATTGAACAGAGTCCAGAGCAGTGACAGACACTCTGGCCGTGCAAATTTGGAAGATGAGAGAGCACAAGTGGATAAAGGAAGGAAGAGAAGATCACTGTGCTGGTTGTGGCTGTGATAGAGTAAATTTTCTTCTCAGTGGCTACTATGGGGCTGTATTTTCTACCTGTGCTGAACACAGGAGTGATAGTATAGAGATGTTTTTGTTATTGCCAAGCAGTTGTTTGCACAGAGCCAAGGCCTTTGCTGCTTTTCCTGCTGCCAGTGCTGGTGAGGGGGTGCATGGGAGGTTGGGAGGAGATACAGCTGGGACAGGTGACTCCAGCTGACCAAAGGGATATTCCAGACCGTATGGCACCATGATCAGCACATACAGTGGGAGGAAGATGGAGGAAGGTGTGGATGTTTGGAGTGATGGTGTTTGTCATCCCAAGTCACTGCCAGGTGTGATGGAGCCCTGCTCTCCTAGAGATGGCTGAGCACCTACCCACCCAAGGGAAGCAATGAATTAATTCCTTGTCTCTCTTTCCTTGTGTGCGTGGCTTTTCCTTTCCCTATTAAACTACCTTTATCTCAATCCAGGAGCTTTCTGGCTTTTGCCCTTCCAATTCTCCTGGTGGGGGAGTGAGGGAGCAGCTGTGAGGGGCTTGTCTGCTGGCTGGGGTGACACCAGGACAGTCAGCAATGCCATCTAGGCACCTTTCTCTTTCATGCATGTGCTTCCTTTAACCTTAGGTGACTTTACCATCACCCTGCCATTCTCTGTAGCATTCAGCCAGAGGGAGATCTGAAAAAACATGCCGGGCCAGTAGAAGAAGTAAGAAAAAGCCAGATGAAGACATCACTGAGTTACTCAGCACACATGGCAAAACCAAAACTTCGAAACGTAACTCAAGATAGTGGGCAGTGGACAGCAACCTTCTGTTAAGTTTCTTGCTAAGAAAACGAATTCACTTGGTATTTGCTATCGGGACTGATCCTTCCCTCTGGCAATAGTGCCATCTAGCCGCTGACAGGCTGTACTGAGAGGTATCCGCGGCACCTGGGCTGCTACCAAAACACTTGCACACCGAAGCGATCGTGGTTTATTTAGTTGGTGGATATCATTCATGTGTCCTGTTTCTCACAGGACACGGCCCAGACCCCGTCCTGATCACTGGTGTAAGCATTTATTGACGTAACAAGATGGAACAGATCACCTGAAGAACAATCTCTGTGACAGATATGTTACACTGGGGAATATTCCCCAAGAGGGGCTGCAGTGCAGGGAAATATTTATATTCAGACAGAAAACCTCATGACAGAATTTTTTTTTTCTTTTGTGGCAAAGAAAAACTAAAAGATACGCTTTAAAATTGTTCTTTCATTTTCTTTGAAAACAGTGATGGATTTGCAATGCTAGTGGAGGAAAAATCAGTTGTTCTGAGTGTTCTTGTTTTAATGTTTAACGAGGTGGTGAACGTGTTCCTTGAAGAGATACAGTTTTTTTCCTATTAGGCAACAAAAAAAAAATCAGAAAATAAATAAAAACATAATT